TTCCAGACCTGAAGGGCAGCTAGGGGCCATAGTCTCAGTGGTTACACCAGGCTCTATTGGACCAGCAAACCTGGTCCCCACCTTCTTCTTTTTTTTTTGCCTCCAAATGATTCTTTTTTTCTTAATGAATGCATTTATCTTAGATTGTCTATCTAATAGCATCATTTTTTTCCCTATGAAACTATGTTATAAAAATCACAACAAATTGTCTATCTTTGTAGAGAAATAAAGTTTCACTTTTCTGTCTTTTATCATACCTTAAATGCATAGTGTTCCAAATGGAGGTATTTTAATTATCCTATATTACTAATGTTCTTTGCCTTGGGCTATGTTGGTTGTATATTTATATGCTATTGAGATTTTGGGTGATTGATGTGGTAAATTATATGCACATGTTAAAACCACCTGTAGATCTCAATTATTTTAAAGCATTTTTATAAAAAACATATTTGATCAATAGCTGGAGAAATTGAAGTCTTAACCAAATTCGTATAAATAATTGCTCATAGTGGTGTTATTTTGAGTGAGTGCTCTGAATCCAATGTCGTTGTTATTTGCCATCGAGTCGGACCCGACTCATAGCGACCCCTCCTTGGGTTTCTGAGGCAGTATCACTATGGAAGTAGATTGCCCAACCTTCCTTCGAAGGAGTGGCTGGTGGGTTTGAACCGCCAGCCTTCTGGTTAGCAGTCAAGTGCCTTAGGCACTACGCTACCAGAGCATATTATAATAAAATGTCTTTTGTTTTTGTTCTTAGTGTTGAATTCCTAAGTCTGGAGTTGAACTTCTAAAATTTTGTTTATTTGAAACAAAATCAGACCAATTTGTTTCTTCTTTTAACTATATTGATCTCTTTTTATGTGCAGGATACTGTGCTAAGCACTGTAAATAGAGCCTTCTGTGACCTTTCCCTTTCCTTGTGGTTCAAAATGCTTTGATTATGTATTTTTTGTATTAATTTTTTTATTCTTGAGGCATTTTCTTATAAAGTACGTTATTATATACTATTGAGTTTCCATACTAAGTTTTAAGAACATCTTCTCTTTATCTGCATTCACTGAGTTTTTAACAAATTCTGAAGTGAACATTGTAGTCATATTTAGATGCTGAATCTAGGTCAGGGCATTCATTCCTTGGTCAGCGCTGAGGAGTGGAGCATGTTTCAGAGCAAGGGCAAATAATAATGTGTAGATTCACATAATATTATATATATGTGTTGTTTGCCGTCGAGTCAGCCCCGACTCATAGCGACCCCTCCTTGGGTTTCCGAGGCAGTATCACTACGGAAGTAGGATTACCCAACCTTCCTTCCGAGGAGTGGCTGGTGTATTTGAACCGCCAGCCGTCTGGTTAGCAGGCAAGTGTCTTAGCCACTATGCTACCAGAGCTCCATTATATATATATATGTATGTGTATTGTTGAGAATATATGCAGCAAAATATACACCAATTCAACAGTTTCTTCATATTCAGTGACATTGATTACATTCTTTGAGTTGTGCAACTACTTATACCCTTCTTTTCTGAATTGTTCTTCATCATTAACATAAACTTACTGCCCACTAAGGTTCCTATCTAATCTTTCAAGTTGCTGTTTTCGACTTGATTCCATACAGATGGATGTTCAAAGAGCATAATGCTCAAGACAGACATTCTTTGGTAGTTAAGCTAATCTATTAGGTTTTAAGAAGACTTCAGGGAATGTTTCCAGCTTAAATCAAAATATTATCTCTAGGTAACAATTTTAGGGTTCATCCAGCTTCCATGACTCCACAAAGTCTGGATTTTACATGCTGTTGTTTTAATGTATAGAATTCAAAGGAGCAGCATGAACAACCTTGAAGGGGGGAAAAATGTCATGATAGGGCAACTTTAAACAAGAGGGAGATGAGAAGAACTGGGTTTCGGTTGAGTTGTGGGTCCCCATTGTCAGTGGTTAGGACAGGGCAGAGTTTCAGTTACTAGAATGAGAGTATTAGTGGATATTTACATATTATATATATATATACCCACTACTCACATATCAACATGGTTAGGTTCCAAAGACCAGGTGAAAATCAGCATTATGCAAAAATAGAGAATAACTGCATCTGATCACACAACTGAGGATGACTGTATCATTGTATAACTCCCAAATGACATCATTACGTAACTGCCAAATTACCTCATTATGTAACTTCCAAACCACTGAGAGTCATGGCCTAGCCAAGTTGATACATAACTTAACCATCATGGCCATCATTACTCTCTCCTCCCACATTGGTGTTCATTACTGCCAGATGTACATTGTTCATGCACAAAATAGGTAGTAGATTTTATACTGTTGTTGTAAATGCGAAATATTGGATAACGAGATAGTCAATAAGTGAGAAGAGGTTTATAGGAAATTAATAAGGTAAGGCTTCGTTAACTAAAGATTGGTGGTTCATGCTGTTTATGATATACTTCCGATATGATAGTTTCTAACTCTTCCAAATACCAAACCCTGAAAGTTAAGAAAAGCCTTAATAATAGACACATCAGCCTATTCTAATTCTGTGTCCCCAATTCTAAGTTTCAGTTTCATACAATGGTGATTATTTTAATTTATCTTAGAAAATTCAGAGAATAGTGGCTTAAGCTATTAGAATTATGTGATCATCTAGATACATGAATGAGTGAATTCATCAGTGAAAGATGTACACTTTATGAATTACACCAGAGGATTGCATATCATAGGAGGTGCTTTTTTTACTGCTAACCAGGAAGCTGGTGCTTCAAACCCACCAGCCACTCCTCGGGCAATCTACTTCTGCAGTGTATTGCCTCGGAAACCCAAGGAGGGGTCGCTAGGAGTTGGGTCCGACTCAATGGCACATAACAACAACATTATTTAATTGACTGCCTCAGGAAGCCCATCTAAATCACCGAAGTAGTATAACTGCACCTACAATATTTGTTAAAGCACTGTATGTTTAAGTAATAGAATAAATATCCAGTTTTACAAATAAGGGCTCCCTGGGTGATGCAAATGGTTAAGTGTTCGACAGCTAACTGAAAAGTTAGCAGTTCAGTCCCATTCAGAGGCAGTTCAAAAGACGGGCCTGGCAATCCCCTTCTAAAAACCTGTGGAGCGGTTCTACGCTGTACACATAGCATCACCATGAGCTGAAATTGACTCAGTGACAACTAATAACAATCAGATCAGTAGAGTGTGGGGAGAGAGATTAATTTTGATTGATTCACCATGAACAGAACTAATATAACAGCCTATATTTTCCTATGTTTTAATAGTTGCTGGCTTGGCTTTAGGCCTTGTAGTTAGGGACATTTTAAGTTTATGAGTTCATATCTAGCCTAGGTTGATCCATAACTGAGCTTGTTCTTTAATTTAAAAAATAAAATATGCAACAAAAAGTTTTCCACACTGCTTTATGTCATTCTCCCCTCCCCTAAATGTATTAGTTTTTTGTTACCTCCTTTACAGCATTTATTTATGTGTACATGTATATTCTTATGTTCCTCCTGCCCTCTCTCTCTCTCTCTCTTTTTTTTTTTTTTTAATTTATATGTACAGAAAAAGACTTGGTAGCATCAGTGTTTTTTAAGGACAAGCTGTCTCTGAATTCAAGCAGTATTATAAAAAAACAAAAACACTTTTATCAATACCAGAGGTTGGTGGTGATCAGCAAGAAAATTGGAGTGATAAGCTTTATATTTTGCCATTTTCCTACTTTTGTATTCTGTAAAGATATCAGACAACTAATAGACAAATTCTATTTACAAGTTTAGGTAGTTTGAGAGCAGCCTACATAGCCTGTTGATACCTGTGGCCCTGTGACCACCTGAGAGGAAACAGGAACTAAAAGGAAAGGAACGTTGGTGGGAAGGGGGCAAAGACCATGAACAGTTTTCACCTGTCTGTTCTGTGCCCTGTATGGGAATAGGCAAGAACTTGAAGTTAAAATAGAAGCGTGAGTTGGAAGAATATGCAATTATGTGTTGCTTATGTCAGTTATTAAAACCCTCAAGTTGACTTCTGTTCATATCATGATGGAACTTTTACATTTATATGAGTTTGGGTGTTTGTTTAAACAGTCTTGATATCCTTATTAAACAGTTTATAAACATTAAGAGGAAAAAAACTCTAATAACACTGACTTAACTACATTTTCATGGAAATGGCTAACTTGATTCTAAACCCTGTATAGCTTATGCATGCCTTTTTCAGTGGCACTTTTTTTTCCTTTCCTTCTGCAAGTAATAGAACTGCATACCACTCTTGACACACCTCTTTTGCAAAATGATACTGATGCATTTAAAGTGGCAATTTGGTGACTTGAACATATACAGTATACTTGAATGACTTGAATTTACAATGCTTGAGATTTATGGCTTTGAAGAGTACGAGAGACTATCTCCATAGGCTAAACCAAAACACCACTTGAAAAAAACGTTTATAGTTTTGAGGGAAAGCTAGATTGCATATTTCAAATTAAATAATATTCTTGTGTATGCTTTGGACCATCAAATAAAGATAAATTAATCATAAGGAACTTTTAAAATTACAGACATTCCACTGTCCATCTCCCAAAAAGATGTCATTTCGAAAAATGGATCCTAGCTGTACAATAGGATTTTACTGTCGAAATGTTCAGGACTTCAAACGAGCTTCTGAGGAAATCACTAAGGTACTTTTATTAAAAATATTATAATACTATTTGTAAATGATCTATTTTTTTTTATTAGAAATAGCTTATTAGAAGATAACAGTCTGTAAATAAAGATACTTTTGTAAAATTGCCCGTTGAATGGTAGAATTATTAGCAGTATTGCAAACTAGGAAATAAAATGTTTGAGGAATCTTAGTTTGAAACAAATGAAATTCACTTGTGACCAGTTGAAGGAACACTTGTGGCACAGTGGTTAAGTGCTTGACTGCTCTCCGAAAGGTCAGCAAATTGAACCCATTGGCTGTTCTGCAGGAGAAAAGACCTGGTGATCTGCCCCTGTAAAGATTGTTGTTGTTATGTGCCATCTGGTCGGCCCTGACTCATAGCGACCCCACCTTGGGTTTCTGAGGCGGTATCACTATGGAAGTAGATGGCCCGACCTTCCTTCCGAGGAGTGGCTGGTGGGTTTGAACCACCAGCCTTCTGGTTAGCAGTCAAGTGCTTTAGGCGCTAAACCCTATGGGGTAATTCTACTCTGTCAGGTAGGGTTGCTATGTCTGTATGGCACACAAGTGACCAGTTGAAGCAAACAGATTAGTCCACTAGGTGGCACTGTTGAAATAAAAATCCCTTTGCAAACTGTAGCCATGTGTAAGCAATTAGGTTATATTTTATTTGAAGAGGATTTTAAAAGGGCAGTCCCTTAGGGGTAGAAAAAAATTAATGAAGTATTTGATCAAACAAAATTGTGCATTATTTCTTGTTAGTCCAAGTGCTGCTTTGATTTTTTTGAAAAAGAAATGGTATTTTTGGATTTCTTAGAACTGCTTTATCAAATGAGCAGTGTTGTTACCTTCCCATAAGCTTGTCTAATCTTTTCTATTCTACTTAAAGGATATTTGAAATAGGTTTAACTTCTCATTACCTTTAAACTTTTGTATTTTTTCTGGTCTTTGCATACTGCTAAAACATTACAGAGCCATAATGTCTGTCTGTGCCTAGTATATTAGAAAAGAAAAAAAGATTGCTTGTGTAGGAAGTAAGCATAACTGGATGAGTCTTTCCACTAGTGATGGGTTACTATTCTGTGTTAACTAAAACAGATGCTAGAGTCATTTTGGGGAATTTTTAACAGGCTCAGATATAATAGTAACGTATTGCTGCTTTTTTCCAGCTAATTTTCTTCAGGAAGATGGACATAATGAGCTGAAATGTTATTTTTACAATGTGAAGATAGAATGAAAAACTTAATAAAAAGTTTCACATAAGCTAGATTTAGTTTACTTGACCTACCAAGTGCAAGAGGAAATTTAATGGAAACATGACAGAAAAATGAATGAGGAGAGGAGAAAGGAGATATGTGAGAACCTTTCCTTGCTCTTCATTTCTCACAGTTGTCATCTTTTCATTCTTCTTGCAACCTGGAAGGCCAAATGAACAGAACAAAATACGTATTCTCCATTTTTTCTTTCTTCTGTTACTTGAAATCAGTGTATAAATTTGTGGGGTTTTTTTTTTTCACTTTTTTTTTCTGTATAGAAGCATTATGCATGTGCTAAAATATACAAATTCAGATGATAACATGATATACTGATGTTGCTAAATGTTTTTCATTAAAGTCCTGCTCCCCTGTTTTCATTAATTTATTTTCTATCTAGGTTAAAATAAGTATGTGACACTACTCCTGAAATAGAAGTAAACTAAATTCCTATTACTGAATTTCAAAAAAGATTTAAAAAACTGAGTTATATGTTGATGCTTTTTGATTAAAAATAGTTATTCAGGTTTTTACACTGGAGAATACTTAGAAATTATTGTTCTTGACATGTTGTTGTTGTTGTTATGTGCCGTCGAGTCGGCCCCGACTCATAGCGACCCCTCCTTGGGTTTCCGAGGCAGTATCACTACGGAAGTAGGATTGCCCAACCTTCCTTCCGAGGAGTGGCTGGGGGGTTTGAAACCGCCAGCCTTCTGGTTAGCAGTCAAGTGCTTTAGCCACTAATATCAATGTGATAATATACAGTATTAGGACAGAGAGAAACCACATTGGAGTATCGTTTGGAAGTCCTAAGGATTTTGCCAGAATCAGTTAACTTTGCTTTAATAAGAGTGTTGTTCTCAAGTTAATAGCTTTTTGTAGCAGTATCAAAGATCCATTTTGTCATTTAATAACTCAGTCATTTACTTTTGTCTGAAAGTTTGTAAGTTAAGCAGTTTCCCTTTTTTTCTTAAAAACTTGATTTGGCATTTAAGCTGCCCCCCCACCATTTTAGAATTAAAATAAATTAAAATTAAAATTATTTGTTTTTATATAGGGTATATTTTCAGTTTTCTCATTTTAAAAATGAAGCTAGGTAGTCTAGAGTCTTATGTTTGATTTGTAATGAGATGTGAATGAATGGTCTAACTCCTTATGCTATGTGATTTTAAAAGTATTAATAAAAATTGTTAAGCTAATTCAGTGTTTAGCAAAGTTTAGCCTAGCAAATTTATGAATAAGTATCATATGTAAAACATAAAACGACTAAGATAAAAATCCCTGCTTTGTACAAGATAGACGCCTTATGCCCTAAGGTAGTATTCATAGAAAAGAAGGGGGAATGAGACAGGTAGACATATATTACATTGAATATGATAAGCATGCACATAGAAATAGAAATAAATTGATAGGGGAAGGAAGAGTATTGAAATAAGAGAGATGTCACATCCAAGTCAAAGTATTTTATTATGATGGTGATATTTAAGATGAGCCTTATAAAGTGGAATCTTCACTATTGGCTTAGAGAGAAGAAAGAGTACTTTAAGCAGAGTAAAGAGCAAGAGTAAAGGTAACGGGGAAGGAAAGCACAGTGCTTGTCTAGAGAGTGACAAATAACCCAATTTTGTTGGTGCCAAGGATACTTGTGGAATCCCTGGGTGGTCTAAACAGTTAATGCACTTGGCTGCTGACCGAAAAAGTTGAGGGTTTGAGTCACCCAGAGGTCTCTTGGAAGAAGGGCCTAGAGGGCAACTTCAGAAAAATCAGCCCTTGGAGACCCAGTGAAGGGCAGTTCTGCTCTGAGACACACACAAACGTGGGGTTTCTACAAGTCAGAATGGATGCGACAAAACTTTTTTTTTTTTTTTTTTTTTTTAAAGGATACTTGTAGGACAGGATTCCTTGCTTCTGACCATTTGAATCAGAATCCTCTAGGAGTGCAATCTGGGAGTCTGTGTCTCCTGAGTAGCTCCTGGACACCAAATTTGAACCACTGATAGAACACAACACAACCCAAAGTATGATATTTGGTAATTTGTGGTGACAATACAAACATTTTGTTTTAGTACTTAAATATTTTTTTGTATTTATATTAGAAAAATATAACTGGTATATTAAGTTTATGATTTCCCAATTACTGTTGATTTGTCCAAGACTATTTAAGTTAAAAATGTTGAAAAAAGCACTAATTCATTTATTATAATAGAGATGGCATACAACTATAGCAAAAATGGTAAAGGTAGTTTATAAATGACTAAGGTTTGAGAAGCACTCCTATAGGGAATAGTGAAGAATGAAGTTAGAAAAGTAGGTTGGAATAATATTGAGAGTCTTCAGTGCTAGGCTGAAGTTGTACTTTAGCAATAAGTTGAATTTTTTTTCCCCTAAATTTCAGCCATACAGAAATACAAAGAACAGTAAATGCCCATGTACTACCATTGAGTTTGGCGGGGTTGGGGGGAAGGAAAAAAATATATATATATAAATTAAACTATTTACATTTTCCCAATCCTGTTCCCTTCTTCCCTTCCCAGAGGTAAGCACTATTCTGAATTAGTATATTATACCCATAGTGTCTTAGTTATCTAGTGCTTCCATACAGAAATAACACAAGTGGGTGGCTTTAAGAAACAGAAATTTATTTTCTCACAATTCAGGAAGCTGGAAGACCGAATTCAGGGCACCAGCTCCAGGGGAAGGTTTTCTTTCTCTCTCTCAGCTGTGGGGGAAGCTCCTTGTTCCTTGGCTCCTTGATGATCTTTATGTGACATGCATGACATCTATCTTCCCTCATCTCTGCTTGCTTCTTTTCTTCCCTGCTTAATCTGCTCCTTTTATATCTCAAGAGATTTACTCAAGACACACCTTATACTAATACTGTCTCATTAACAGAACAAAGAAAACCCATTCCCAAATAGGATTATAACTACAGGTGCAGGGGTTAGGATTACAACACATATTTGGGGGAGATACAATTCAATCCATAACATACAGTGTGGAGGCAGTGGTGGGTCAGTGGTAGAATATTCACCTTCATTGCAGGAGACCTGAGTTCTAGTCTTTGTCAGTATCCTTCATGCACAGCTACTATCTGTCTATCAGTGGAGGCTTGCATGTCACTATAATGCTGAACAGGTTTCAGTGGAGCTTCCAAACTAAGACAAATTAGGAAGAAAAGCCTGGTGATTGATCTATTTCTGATCAACCAGTGAATACCCTATGGATCACAACAGTCCCATTCCAATTGTACAGGAGTTGCCAAGAATTGAGGACCAACTCAACAGCAGCTAGCAACAATGACCTATACTGTATATATCCATAAACAACATACATTGTTTTATGTTATTATGAATAATTTTTATATAAAAAATATATATATTCTTCTGTAACTTGCTTTTTCATTTAACAATGTATTAGAGATTTTATCTTTATCCATACATGTAGATCTAGGTTATTCATTTAAATTGCTGAATTGTACAATATACTACTGTTTATTTACATTTTTTATATTGATGGTTATCCAGCTTGTTTCCATTTTTAATTATAAATAATGTTTATAAGAATATTCTTTTGCATATATAATACTTTCTCTACGCTAAGCTCATTATCTTCAGCCAAAACAAGGCCAGGAGCTGATTGTGGAATAGACCATCAACTGCTTATATGCAAGTTCAAGTTGAAGTTGAAGACAATTAAAACAAGTCCATGAGAGCTAAAATATGACCTTGATTATATCCCTCCTGAATTTAGAGACCATCTA